TACCTTAGAGCCTGTTTTATTTTTTCTGAATTTTATTGACTCATTTAGGTCTTAGCCCTTTTTATTACAAATTATTTATTGTTTACTCACTACAGCCTGTTTTATTTTTTCTGAATTTTATTAAAGGATGATATTGATGATGAAATGTCTTATGATGAACATTTAGAGGTTTATTTTGAACAACTGGCAATTCCAGGAATGATGGAATAAAACATATGAAGTAGAAGGACTGGAACCTCCATAAAAAAATACTTTAAGTTACCTACAAGTGATCCTAGTCAGGTATGTTACAGTCTTAATGGCTTTTCAGAAATTTGACAGAAAATTACTATTGATCTCATTGGATGTTTACATGAATTTTAAGCCTTTGGTTTTCTTTTAACTCTGTTTTTCACAGGTATGAATTGATAAGAAATACCTGCACCTTTCCTCCTTCCTATCTTTCCCTTGCCTACAGAAAATTAAAAAGTAAAACAATGGACATCTACATATTCTTCATTCAGATTAACATGTTGCTAGCATTTGCCACCTCTGCATTTTCTTTCTCTTTCTGTAAGTACTTTCTTCTCTGAATCATTTGAAAGTAAGTTGCAGAGAGCATGATGTTTTACCCCAACACTTCAGCATTTATCTCTTGCGAATAATGACGTATTTCTACATAATTACAATTCTACCATCTAACTATAATATAGTAATTTAATGTACAACCCATATTCAGGTTTACCTAATTGTCTCCGAAATGTTCTTTATTTTTGGTTTACACCCACAGTGTAATGAAAGATTAACCTTGCCTTTGGTTGTCATGTCCCTCTCTTCATTTACTTTGGAGTAGTTCTTTCAATACATGAAACATTTTGGAAAATCTAGGCTCTTTGTTTTGTACAGTGACCCATAATCTGATATATCTGATGGTTTTCTTCTTCTCCTGACTAGAATAGATTAAGCATTTTGGCAAGAATACCGATTGAACAGTGTTCTCATGAGTGGATTCAGATTAAACAGAGAATAATGCCTAATCCAGATTAGGCAGTGTTGGGTACTTATTGCCTCACACCGGGGGATGTTTGAGTCTGTTTGTCCCATGATTGATGAAGCTATGTTTCGTAATTTTGGTTGAGGTGGTGTCCACTGGACATCTCCTTGTGAAGGGAGCTTTCCCCTTTGTTCTTAGTCCTGTGGGACGAGACATCAAAGCACTGTGAACGTTTTATTCCCCGGCAACCTTCATGAGCTGGTTTCAGTGTCATTGCTGAAGCCTCTTGGAAACACCGATTACACCTGTGGTTCCAATGGTGATTTTTTCTCATTCCTTTTACATTGATTACCTGCCTCCTTCAATGAGGTAGATGTTGTCTGCTCCCCATGTTTTCCCCTTCAAAATGTTTAATTTTAATTTAAATGATTAATACAGCTAAGTTATTTCAACAGGCAAATGAAAACAGTAAAGTGGCAGTTTCACCCAGAAAATAACAGCGCTGGTTGCTCATGGCTCACACTCTTCTGAAACGACTCAGGAAGAGCCTGAGGAAGGCCATGTTGTTTGTCTACCTGGGACTAGTAAGTATAGAAATAGGATTCCTTTGTTCTTAAAGTTTAGTTTTGACTTTACTTTTAAAATATAATTTCTTTGGTATGATTAAGCTCATGCCTGTAATCCTAGCATTTTGGGAGGCCAAAGAAGGAGAATTGCTTGAGCCCAGGAGTTTGAGACCAGCCGAGGCATCATAGGGAGACCACACACACACACACACACACACACACACACACACACCCCGGAAGTGGTGGCATGCAACTATGGTCCCAGCTACCTGGGAGGCTGATGTTGGAGGATCATTTGGGCCCAGGAGGTGGAGGCTGCAGTGAACCGTGATTGTGCCACTGCACTCCAGCCTGGATGACAGAGCAAGACCCTGTTTCACAAAAGAAGAAGGAGACCATCTGTTAGTCTTCTTGATTTTTGTAAAATGTGATATGTGATGGTTGATAAGCTTTATGAATATGTCAGTCTGTGGCCATTTAATTTTGAACTAAGGACTTGTTCTATTACAGCACAGTAATCATTTTACTAATTAGTGACTATTTGTCATTGAAAACAATACATTTAGTTTTAATACAGTTGAGTACTCACATATTTCTGGGGAAACTTGGTCAGGACATTTCAACTGAGAATTGTCAGGCACCTTCTCACTGATAAGCGTGCTGCTCGGTGGTGCAGCTCACGTGCAGACGACTCCCTTCATGTAATTTAGTAGGAAAATAACAGAAATACTTGTATATAAAGTAAAGCAAAATTCTGGTTATTGAATCACAGCACCTACTGAAGGAAGTTCTCAAGTTCTGATTGAGTTCTAAAAGTTTTTTGAAGATTGGAATTCTTCATATGTAAGTAAAAACAATTTCTGATGACCCATTTCTAGTCCATCTTCTAAAGAAGTATTTAATCTGGGCCGGGTGCGGTGGCTCACACCTGTAATCCCAACACTTTGGGAGGCTGAGGCAGGTGGATCACGAGGTCAATAGATCAAAACCCTCCTGGCCAACATGGTGAAACCCCGTCTCTACCAAAAACAAAAATTAGCTGGGCATGGTGGCACATGTCTGTAGTCCCAGCCGCTTGGGAGGCTGAGGCAGGAGAATCCCTTGAACCCGGGAGGTGGAGGTTGCAGTGATCCAAGATTGCACCACGGCACTCCAGTCTGGTGACAGAGCGAGACTCCAACTCAAAGACAAACAAACAAAGTATTTAATCTGAGCTGGGCATGATGGCTCACTCCTGTAATCTCAGCACTTTTGGAGACCAAGGCATGAGGGTTACTTGAAACCAGGAGTTGGACACTAGCCTAGGCAACAAAAGCAGGACCCCATCTCCACAGAAAACTTAAAAATTAGCTGTGCAGGAGGCTGAGCTGGGAGGATCACTTGAGCTTAGGAGTTGGAGGTTACAGAAAGCTGTGATCATGCCACTGCACTCCAGGCTTGATGACAGACAAAACTAACAAAGTGTTTAATCCATAAGATGACCACATTTATAGGAGCCTCCTGGCAATCTTAGCCTGGAGCCATGAAGGAAGACAGCGTGTGAAAGCAAGTGCAGGCTGGCCTCTGGCCGCTGAGGATCAGGACAGGATGTGGAGTGAACATCTACATCAAACTTTATTGCTTGGATTGGAAAAAAAATTCCTATCTGTAGATCAGCCTTAAAATATATCCTTCCATAAAATATTATCTTTCCCATATTTTGAGGCCATGCTATTGGTGCTACCTGAGGGAACAGTATTGTGTCCTTGATTTGATGAGATCAGTAGCTTTCTTATCTTACTGAATGACATCCACAGAACTCAGGAACCCACAGAACTCAGAAACAGAAGCTACATATTAAGTGAATTTGTATCTTACTTGTTATGATATTACTGTGTATAAGAAATAGAGATGGTGGGCTGGGCACGGTTGCTTACACCTGTAATCCCAGCACTTTGGGAGGCTGAGGTGGGTGGATCACGAGGTCAGGAGATCGAAACCATCCTGGATAACATGGTGAAACCCCGTCTCTACTAAAAAAATACAAAAAATTGTATAAAAAAATACAAGAACTACAGGCACCTATAGTTCAAGCTACTCGGGAGGCTGAGGCAGGAGAATGGCGTGAACCCGGGAGGCGGAGCTTGCAGTGAGCTGAGATCTGGCTGCTGCACTCCAGCCTGGGCGACAGAGCAAGACTCTGTCTCAAAAAAAAAAGAAAAAAAAAAAAGATGACCAGGTGCTATGGCTCATGTCTGTAATCTCAGCACTTTGGAAGGCTGAGGCGGGCAGATCACAAGGTCAGGAGTTCGAGACCAACCTGACCAACATGGTGAAACTCCGTCTCTACTAAAAAAAATACAAAAATTAGCAGGACCTGGTGGCATGCACCTGGAATCGCAGCTACTTGGGAGGCTGAGACAGGAGAATTGCTTGAACCTGGGAGGCAGAGGTTGCAATCAGCCAGATGCCACCACTGGACTCCAGCCTGGTGACAGAGCAAGACTCTGTCTCAGGAAAAAAAAAAAAAAAAAAAATGAAATAGAGGGTTTTCCCCCCAACTGACGTCAGCTGGGGGGGGTTTCTGGTGCTTGGTGCTATCAGGTGTTGAAAGTGCTCCCTACCTAAAAAGGAAAAATCTCAAAAATGAAATTATCAAGGGAATTGTAGGTATCAGCTTTATATTTGTATAAGTTATTATAGAGTTGGATTTTAAGAGTTTTGCCTGCTTCAGACTTCTCCCATTGTGTGTTTTTTTTTTCTTTTATGTATATCTTACTACCTATTATTTCATAAACATTATTCACTTATTAGAATCTGTCATTGTCCTCTGCTGCATTTCTTCAGTGGTCAGGACCATCCATGGGTTCCCCACCATCCAGCATTTTCTTCTAATACTGTTATAGTTTTACTAACTATGCTGTGAGTTTTGCATGTGGGTTACTTTTTTCTCACTCAGACCCACTTTTCCAGTATTTACTAAAAGAATTCTTACTTTTTTGCTTTATTCTGTACATCTCTGTTTTGCACATATTAAATTTTTAATTTTAAATTGTAAAGTATATGTAATGTAAACTTTACCAGCTAATCATTTTTAAATGTACAGTTCAGTAATGTTAAGTACATTTTTCAGGGTTGTTCTGTGTTTTGGCTTCTTTGGACTACATTGAAAGAATTGTCCTGGACCACACATAAAATACACTAACACTAATGATAGCTAATGAGCTTCAAAAAGAAAAAAGCTCTATGCATACATCTCATATTTTGTTTTGACATGAGCTTTGGTGGACACATTTCAACCCTAGCAGTCAGATCTAAGATTCCCAGTTGAAAGGATTTCCCCACTTAGTACTTCGACTTAATCAACCCTGCTGCCTTCTGGCCTCCAAGGTTTCTGGTAAGGAATCTACTGATAGCCAGGCACGGTGGCTCACGCCTGTAATCCCAGTACTTTGGGAGGCTGAGGTGGGTGGATCACCTGAGGTCAGGAGTTTGAGACCAGCCTGGCCAACATGGTGAAACCTCATCTCTGAAACCCAGGCTGAAAAGTTAGTGGGGCGTAGTGGCAGGTGCCTGTAATCTCAGCTACTTGGGAGGCTGAGGCGGGAGAATTGCTTGAAACCAGGAGGCGGAGGTTGCAGTGAGCCAAGATTGGCCATTGAATTTCAGCCTGGCAACAGAGGGAGACTCTGTCTCAGAAAAGAAAAAAAAAAAAAGAAATCTAGTGATAATCTGACTGAGGATCCTTTGTATGTGAGAAGTAGCTTCTCCCTTGTTTCATTCAAGATTCTTTGTCTTCCTTTGTATGTGAGAAGTAGCTTCTCCCTTGTTTCATTCAAGATTGTCTTTTGATACTTTAATTATAATGTGTTGGGTGAGATACTTTGAATTGATCCTATTTTGAGTTTGTTGAGCTTCTTGGTTTTTGTGAAAGTAAGTTTTAATAGAGGCAGGGTCTCATGGCTGGGCGCAGGGGCTCACGCCCGTAATCCCAGCACTTTGGGAGGCCGAGGCGGGCGGATCATCTGAGGTCGGGCGGTTGAGACCAGCCTGACCAACATGGAGAAACCCCATCTCTACTAAAAATACAAAATTAGCCAGGCGTGGTGGCGGGTAACTGTAATCCCAGCTACTTGGGAGGCTGAGGCAAGAGAATCGCTTGAACTCGGGAGGCGGAGGCTGCAGTGAGCTGAGACTGTGCCCTTGCAACAAGAGTGAAACTCCATCTCCAAAAAAAAAAAAAAAAAAAAAGACGGTCTCACTCAGTCACCCAGGCTGAAAGGGCTCAAGCAGTCCTTTCGCATGAGCCTCCTGAGTAGCTGAGATTGTATGTGCACACCACCCTACCAGCTTTTCATTTTAACTATGGTTTTTTTCATAGAGACAGAGTCTCACTGTGTTTCCCAGGCTGATCTTGAATTCCTGGCCTGTAACAACCCTTCCACCTTGGCCTCCCAGAGCACTGAGTGTACAGATGGGAGCCCCCATGCCAAGCCTTGGATATTTATGATGTCTTAATATTTTAAATCAAACTTGGGAAGTTTCTTAGATTTTCATTATTTCTTCAGATGTTCTTTTCTTGCCTCTGTCTGTTCTGTGATTCTTATAAACTGATTTGGTCCACTTGATGCTGTCCCACAGGTCCCTTAAGCTCAGTTGATGTTCCTGCAACCATTTTCCTTGTGTTTCTGACACAGGATTATTTCAATTGTTTTGTCTTCAGATTTGCTAATTCTTTCTCTGCTTGGTCAAATCAATCCCTTCTACTAATTTTTTTTTTTTTTGATATGGAGTCTCACTCTGTAGCCCAGGCTGGAGTGCAGTGGCGCAATCTCTCTGCAACCTCCACCTCCCAGGTTCAAGCAAATCTCCTGCCTCAGCCTCCCAAGTCACTGGGACTACAGGTGCCACCACCACACCTGGCTAATTTTCATATTTTTAGTAAGACACGAGGTTTCACCGTGTTGCCCAGGCTGGTCTTGATCTCCTGACCTCATGATCTGCCCACCTCAGCTTCCCAAAGTGCTGGGATTACAGGCGTGAGCTACCGTGCCTGGCCCCTTCTAGTAATTTTTTTTTTATTATTTCAGGTATTTTAATTTTTAATTGCAAAATACTTTTTGATTTCTTTTTATAATTATCTCTTTATTGAGGTTCTTATTTTGCTCACAGGTAATTTTCCTTTAGTATCCATGTCTTTCTTTAGCTCTTTGGGCATCTTTAAGAGTTGTGGTTAAGTTTTTGTCTAATAAGTATGTCTAATATCTGAGTATCCTCAGGTGTATTTTATATTCACTTACTTAGTTCCTTTGAATGGGCCATACTTTCCAGTTTCTTTGTGTGCCTTGTGATTTGTTTTTGTTATAAACTGGATGTTTCAAACTTAATGTGATAACTCAGGAAGTCAGATTCTCCTTTTACTCCAGGTTTTCCTTGTTTTGAGACGGAGTCTTGCTCTCTCACCAAAGCTGGAATGCAGTGGTGCAATCTTAGCAAGAATTCAGGATTGATTCTCTGGAGCCAAAGGAATTGTTCATAAATTCTGGGGAGGAAATGAGGGTTACTGGAGGGAGTGTTTATTAGAACTATTTCACTAAGAGTCTGATTTTGACATACAGATGTAAGAAGTCACAGTTAATTTTTTTTTTTTTTTGGACTTAACTTTGGAAGTGAAATGTTATCTTGTTCAGTGTAGTGAATTTTTTAAAAATAAAAATACTTAGGAGAGGTGGATCTTCCTTTCTGGATTGTTCAGGACTTTTGAGAGTATGACTGAAGTTGAAGAGTAACTGACTTATTTATTAAACAGAGGAACAAGACTGAATCATGGAAAAATGATCTGTTATTCAGAAGTTTTATTTTGGTATAAGTTACAAAGTTTTATTTGCATTCACATTACTGGATCTAGGGAAGACTAATAAAAAGCTGAGTGTATTTCCTGAGTTGAAATTGTAGGTGTGTCTTGTGACAGTTTGTAAGAAAGACAAGTGGAGTCTCCTCTGCTTCAGCAAAGCTGCTTGAACACGAACCTTCCTGAAACTTTCATGCAAGTTGGTGGGAGCATCCCTAATTGTAATACGGATTTTCAAGGATGTGTTTATTCTGTAAAATAAAGTGCTGTTATGCTGTAAGTTTTAGGAGGCAGGAGTTTTTTATCTTTTGCTTATTAATATGTCACTGATGGTTAAACAGTATGTAACACAGAGTAGGTGTTCAGTAATAATGAAAAAATAAAATGTCATTTCTGTGTTGTTTTAATTTGGATTTATTAGTAAGGGCAACATATTTGACTATTAGTTCTGATGATTAAAAGCTAGTGAGCATTAAGGAAAGAAAAGGTTCTGCGTGGACTTTGAAGGTCGTCTCTATCAATTTGAGGTTGAATGGGAAGAATAGTTTTGTTGAGGTCCTTTAGCTGTGTTATGTGTTATGAGTACTTTTTTTTTTACTCAGGCAAAAGAAAATGTGTGTGTGTTAAATCCAGTCAGCCCTCTTTATCTGTGGGTCCTGCATTCTCACTTTCTGCCAACCTCAGATCAAAAATCTTCCAGAACAAAAGGATGGTTGCATCTGTACTGAACATGTACAAGCTTTTTTTCTCGTCATTATTCTTTATGCAATAAAGTATAACAACCATTTATGTAGCATTTCCATTGTATTAGGTATTGTGAGTAATCTAGAGGTCATTTGAAGGATATTGGAGGGTGCGTCCAGGCTGAAGGCAAGTACTATGGCATTTTATGTCAGGGACACCTACAGATTTTTGTGTCCAGCCATGGATCCTGTACAGTTGAACATTTCCACACGCTGAGGGTGTGATGGGTCTGGGTTGGGTTGGTCCACCATGTTCGAGGAAGTGTGCCCATCATGATTTTACACCCTTGTTGTAAACTTTGGATATGTCTATTTTGATATTTAAAACATTTTCAGATTAAGTCTGAAAATGCCAGTATATTAATATTTTAAAATGGAATTGAGAAGTCATTATTATAATAATAGAATTCATTATTAGAACTTTCTAATAGTAGAAAGGAAGTCTATTTATTTTATAAAATTGTCAGTTCATCTTAAGATCTAATAGTCTTTTGCAATTAACAGCAACTTAATTCAGACTACCTCAAAAGAAGAATTTAACATTGATTTTTGTAGGAAAAAAGCAATTTTAAAGTAGCCTGGGAAAACTTAGGTAAGTTTTCCTTAATTCTGACTCTTAATTTGTGGCTAGAAGTGGCAATGATATGAACATAAGTTGTGCTATTTATTAATTTACTGCTTTTCATAAATCAGCCCCTTTTATGTAATTAGGTAAAAAGAGAAAAATACATTCTTGATTTTGGTGACTAGAGTTGTGGACGCCGGAAAGCTCTGCCACTAAGATTGATGAACCAGATGCGTGTCACTGGCCAGTCACACTGATTCTTAATGCTGTAAGTATGAACATACAGTTAAAAAAAAAAAATCTGTTGATAGAATACATCATCTTATGAAATGAAAAGATTTGGTTAAGGAGTTTTTGAACAAATTTCACATTACACTACTGGCTTTACTAAATCTGAGTCTTGTATTTCTGAACAGGGCACCATGGCCTGGCACTGTCACGTTTTCCAGGGAACCTGCCCGAGCTCCTGCAGAAGCTGCTCCTCGGGCCGATGGAGTCCCTTAGCTGGTAGGCCCTTCTTTAGTCACCACAGGATGCCTGCTGACTGAACAGGAAGGAGAGGATGGGCTTTGAATAAAACACAGGTAAGTTTCCCAACTGCTTTTCTTTGATTAAGATTTCAATCTTGGCTGGGCATGGTGGCTCACGCCTGTAATCTCAGTATTTTGGGAGGCCAAAGTGGGCAGATCACAAGGTCAGGAGATTGAGACCATCCCTGGCCAACATGGAGAAACCCTGTCTCTACTGAAAAAATACAAAATTAGCCAGGCGTGGTGGCACATGCCCATAACCCAGCTACTCGGGAGGCTGAGGTAGAAGAATCACTTGAACCCAAGAGGTGGAGGTTGCGGTGAGTGGAGATCATGCCATTGCAATCCAGCCTGAGCAACAAGAGCAAAACTCCTTCTCAAAAAAAACAAAAACAAAAACAACTCCTCCGAGTTGCACATGGCTTGTCCGAGTGTCCCCTGCTTGGCTACAGACTGTGTGCTCAGTCTGCTCTTAGGACCTTTATGCAAGTGTCTGGCCTGCATCAGTGTGAATGCTTGTTCTTGGAATGCTTGCCCACAGCTCCCCTGGGTTGACTTCTTTTGGGAAGCTCTCGAGTAGCTGGGATTACAGGCATGCACCGCCACGCCCGGCTAATTTTCTGTATTTTTAGTAGAGACGGAGTTTCTCCATGATTTTCATTTTTTAAATGCTTTTTTGAGATTTGTTTTGTGGCCTAAAATGTGGTCTATCCTGGAGAATGTTTTGTGAGCTGATGAGAAGAACGCAGGTTCTGAAGTTGGTGGGTGAAATGTTCTGTAATTACCTGTCAGGTCCCTCTGACTTCTATTTTGGTGTGTAAGTCTGGTTTTCGTTGCTTTTCTGCCTAGAGGGTGTGTCTGTTGCTAAAAGTGGGTGTTGGAGTCCCCAGCTATTGTTGCCTGTCTCTGTTTTTCGATGACTCTTACTTTAATAACTGGGGCTCCTGCGTCAGCTGTGTTTACATTGACAACTGTTCCACCCTCTTGCTGAATTGATCCCTTTATCATTTTATAATGACCTTTATTTTCTATTTTTGTGCTTTGTAGACTTAAAGTCCATTTTGTGTGACAAGCATAGCAGTGGTGATTCCTTTCCTTTCTGATCTTCACCGAACCTCGCTTTTTCACACTCACCGAAATGTCTACTTAAAGCCACGGCACCTCTTTGAATTTTCACATCTACCGTATGGTGATGGTAGATTTCCTTTTCATCTGTACTCTGAAGGAATCCGAAACAGGCATTTTTACAAGTCTAGGAAGGAAACAAAAATCTATGTGTCAAAAGAATGAACATAGAAAATAACATGTCCTGGTTAACAAAAGTTCTCATTGTAAAGTGTTATGCACAAGATATGGAATTTTATGTGCCATAAATGAAGTTGTCTTGTCTAAAACTACTTTTAAAAATTACATGTTACTTTAATAAAGGTATTTTTGAGAATTTGGTGACTTCTTATTTCCTAGACCTCTTTAATTTCATATTAAATTCCAGCATGAATTTTAATGCTGGATTTTAATGGATTTTAATGGATTGTGTGGTTGTCTAAATGTTAAGAGTCTGAAGACCTCAAGTGGGCAGGAGCTGGGCAGGGGCAGGATCACGATGCAGGCAGGACCAGGGTGCAGTGTGGATGGGCTCCAGTAGGAACGGGGTGCTGGTGGGGCAGGGGTGGGGGTAGGTGTGGGGGGCGTCAGAGCACGGTGCTCCTAGGAGTGGGGTGGGGCACAGTAGGAGCAGGGTGTGGATAATACTGAGGTGCTGGCACGGCAGGGCGTGGGTAGGAGCAGAGGGCGTGTAAGATTGGGCTTCTGGCGAGGCGCGCGTGGGTAGGATGGGGTGCTGCAGGACGGGTAGCAGTTGGGTGTTGGCGGGGCGGGGCGTGGTTAGGACCGGGACGCGGGTGGGTGGAGAGTGACGGCAGAGCAGGGCGTCGGTAGGAGCGGGGTGCTGGTAGGAGTGGGGTGCCGGTAGGAGTAGGGTACAGGACGCGCTTAGGAGCAGGGTGCTGGTGGCGCAGGGCACGGGTAGAAGCGGGGTGGGGACGGAGCAGGATGCTGATGGGGCGGGGCGGGGTGCTGGTGGGGAGAAGCGCGGGTAGGAGGGGGTGCTGCAGGATGGGTAGCAGTTGGCTGTTGGCGGGGTGGGGTACGGGTAGGATGTGGTGCTGCCGGGCAGGGCAGCAGGTAGGAGAAAAGTCCAGGTAGGTGCCAGGTGCTGCAGGGTCGGACTCAGGTAGAAGCGGGGTACAGTAGGAGAAGGGTGGCAGCTGGGCCAGGCCCAGGAAGGGGCAAAGTGTGGGTAGGAGCAGGGTGCTGGCGGGGCAGGGCACAGTTAGGACCATGGCACAGGTGGGTAGAGGGTGATGACAGGGCATTGGTAGGAGCCGGGTGCAGTAGGAGCAGGGTGCTGGTGGCACAGGGCACAGGTAGAAGTGGGTGCGAGTGGAGCAGGGTGCTGATGGAGCAGGGTGCTGGCAGGGAGAAGCATGGATAGGTGCAAGGTGAAGGTAGGATCGGGGTGCTGGAGAGCGGGACAGGGTGTGGGAGGGGCAGAGTGATTGTGGGGTGGGGCCACAGGTATGATGTGCTGAGAGCCCGATGTGGGTGGAGCAGCGTGTGGGTAGGAGCAGGGTGCTGGTGGGGCGGGACACCCAGGTTAGGACCCAGGTGCGGGTAGGTGGAGGGCAAGTGGAGGGCGATGGCAGGGCAGGGCGTTGGTAGGAGCAGGGTGCCAGTAGTGTGTCCAGAATTGGTGGGTTCTTGGTCTCACTGACTTCCAGAATGAAGCTGCAGACCCTCGCGGTGAGTGTTACAATTCTTAAAGATGGTGTATCAGGAGTTTGTCCTTCAGATGTTCAGATGTATCTGGAGTTTCTTCCTTCTGGTGGGTTCCTGCTGTGGACCCTGGAGGTGAGGGTTACAGCTCTTAAAGGCTGCACATCTGGACTTGTTCCTTCCTTCCAGTGGGTTAGGGGTCTTGCTGGCCTCAGGAGTGACGCTGCAGACCTTCGAGGTGTTACAGCTCATAAAGGTGGCACAGGCCCAGAGAGTAAGCAGCAACAAGATCTATTGCAAACAGCAAAAGAACAAAGCAACCACGGGGTGGAAAACGCACCGCAAGGAGTTGCTGCTGTTGGGGCGGGCAGCCTGCTTTTATTCTTATCTGACCCCACCCACATGCTGCTGATTGGTCCATCTTGACAGAGCTGATTGGTCCGTTTTACAGAGAGCTGATTGGTCCGTCTTGACAGAGCTGATTGGTCCATCTTGACAGAGAGCTGATTGGTGCGTTCACAAACCTTTGGCTAGACAGAAAAGTTCTCCGGGTCCCCACCTGACCCAGAAGCCCAGCCGGCTCCACCTCTAAATAGCAGTCGCCACCCAGGCCGGGGACTCCGGCGGCCCAGAGAGAGCTCCTCCCTCCATCAAGCCCAGCAGGCCACAGCGAGGGCCCGGCCCACAGAGCCCGCGCCCACCGGAACCCGCGCCGGCCCGTGAGCCCCACGCGCAGCCTGGCCTCCCGCCCGCGCCTCTCCCTCCACACCTCCCCGCGAGCAGAGGGAGCCGGCGCTGGCCCTGGCCAGCCCCAGAGAGGGGCCCTCGCAGCGCAGCTGCGGGTTGAAGGGCTCCTGGAGCGCGGCTAGAGCAGACGCCGAGGCGGAGGAGGTGCCGAGAGTGAGCGAGGGCTGCTAGCACGTTGTCACCTCTCGGTAGGAACAGGGTGCAGGAGGCGGGTTGGTTCGGAACCTGATGCTGGAAAGGCCACCAGTGGTCTGGGTCCCAGCACCTCTGCAGGCGCAGCCGCTTGTTTCACCTGGTGCGCCATCTTGCAGTTCTTGAATTTGCGCCTTTTGGCTGCACAGAGAGGGCAAGGAAGCCGCGCACGAATGCAAGGTCGGAATGACTGGGGTGCGACCAAGGGGACTTGGAGAACCGCCCTTCCTCCCCAGGTTCCCCAGGCAGAGCCCACCACCCCCGCGTTTTTTCAGAGGCCCAACTGGGCCTCTGCGGAAGGGGTGGGGGCAGGGTAGAGACAGGAGGAGGGAAAGAACTGGGCAGGGAAGGGGGCCGAGAGAGCCTCTCTCAACATCCGGGTTAGTTGATAGACTGGGGGTCCTGCAGGGCTAGCCACGAAGAAATGTAACCATGTGTGGAAAAACAAGAATTGGGGAGGGGTGAGGAAGAGAAGTTGGTTACCAGGCAGCAGGTGGTGCCTTAGGCAATCATAGGGGCTGAAGGGCTGGCTTCTCATTGTCAGACCCTGGGCTGGTAAGTTTCAGGGAACTCAGATGAAACAAATGTAACTTCCTTTAAGACTAGCGGGATCAATTTCTCCGTTTATTCAAGGAAGCTGTATACATGGGGTCTAGGGGAGAATTGGACACTTTCCAGCCTCATGCGGGGAGCTGTAAGGGTGGGTGTCCTTCTCCCCCTCTACACAGGGGCACTCTTAGGACTGGCAGCAGAGGAGAGCGAGCAGCAGAGAGCAACGGGAGCCCCAAAGAATCTAATTTCCTCCAAAGAAATGATGGCCACGAACATACTCAGCAGGAGAAGCCAGGGGGCCCACGCTGGGGAGTTGTGGGCTGAGGTTGGATGTGGGTTCTGGGCGTCTGTGGGGAAAGTCCTCTGTTCTCTCCCCATCCCTTAGCTGCCTCTTGAGGTCTGGCCTGCGTCTATTCACAGAGGGATGGAGGAAGGGAAGATCATGGGGCCTTGGGGTGGGAGGGGGCAGGAACTGGAGCCTGGGGCGCCCCTGGGCCAGCTGCCCCTGTCCCTGCTGTGTCTTGGTGGGGCTCAGGGCTGAATCTGTGATCTGCACATCACTCTGGAGATTTGAAGTCAAAGTGAAGTCGCCCTCGCAGGCAGGAGAGGGAGCTGCGAAGACGAGGCTAGCTCAGACTCAGTCAACCACTATGTCCAGAGTCGGCCAGCTGAGGGGAAGGTGGTTGGGGGGAGTAGGGGAGCAGGGGCACTCAGCCCAAGAGAGCTACCCTGAACCACAGGACCAGGTGCTGCCTGCCACCCACCCTTGCCGGGGTTGACAAAGCTGGAGTTGGCCACGGGGAGCTCCCCAGGGTGCAGACAGGTCCCATCTCTGGGACTAGCAGCTACCCAGGCTGCACACTCAGGCCTATGCCCAGGGAAGGGACCTGATAAGAAGAAAGAGGCTGGTGGCGAGGGGTGCGTGGAACTTTGGGGGACAAACAAGCTCCTGTTGTGGTAACCGAGCGAGTTATAGAGAAACGCCACACTCTGAGACTAATTCAGGAGTCCTTTATTGCTGGTGACTGAGGGACTGCTAGAGCTCAAAATTTAGCCCTGAAGAAGGGGCTAGATTTCTTTTTATATCTTGGTCTAAATAGGAGAGAGGGAGTCTAAAGCAATTTTTACAGAAGCAGAACAGGCAAAAAGTTACAAGATAGATGGTTACAGAAACAGTTACAGGAAAATAGTTCCAGGTTCAGGGGCTTAAACTGTCACAAAGAGACAAATGCAGGGGCTTTGGGTACCACCAAGCGAGCGCGTGTCCAGGTGCCGCTGGCACAGCTTGCCTCAGTATCTTATCAGCGCACTCCTGGGTGTGCCTGGAGTCAGCATGCACCAGTTATGTCCTTAAGGGAGGGGGGACAAGGGGCTGCAAGCGGAGAAACCAAAATGGAGTCTGTCCGGCTCTCTCAGCTGAGAGAGTCAATCAGGTAAAAACAAGGGAGGGCATCACATTCCCACTCGTGTTTTTGGGGAATCAAATCATTGATTCCTCGGTTATAACAAAGGGGTTATATTGGGTTCCAAGATACACAAGTTTGACAGAAGCTATGCGCTACTTTATAAAGTTAAGCAACCAATTTAATAGACAAGGCCTGAAGACGAACCTTAAGAGGAGGAGAAGGGCTCCCGCCAGCCCGGTAATTAGTTAGCCAGGGATTCCAGTTAAACATGCTTTGGTACCAGGGGGTGTTACTCTCCTGTTCCTGCTGGCATTTGCCTAGATTTTCTCGAACTTTTTGAAGAGTATTTTTTATGACTTCAGACTGATTGGCATAGAAACAACTTTCTCCCAAAGCTGCACGTAACCCTCCTTGGGAGAGAAATAGCAGATCTCAGCCTCGGCGGTTGTGAAGAACTACATCCGCTAGAGGCTCTACCTGGGCATGCAGTATATTTATGGCTGATTGGAGATGGCTTAAATCATCATCTACTTGTTGAGATAGGGACATTAGCCCAGTTTCTCCTTGAATCAGGGCAGTCGTGCGGATGGCTGCTGACCCAGCTATGCTAAGGCCGGCCACAAGGGGTACAAGGAGTGGGGCAACTCGGCAAAACCTGGGATGCAATTCAGGAGGAGCGATGAGGAGTTGTTCTTCTGACCTGCTGTACAGGTAGACCTGGGGGAGTACATGAACCAACACACAGGAGAGGTCAGGGTTCAGTCCCACTGATGCAGTGAGTGAGACCTGAAGTGCCGGCTAACCAGGTATTGTTGGGTGCCTGATAGAAGACTGAGGTGTTTAAGGAGGTAAGCAGGGACTGATTCCAGGTAGCCTGAGAGGGAGAAGCAGATAAATTATACCCTGCTAGTTAGACAGGAGGCATTCCTGACACGTCTCCTAGTGTAAGGGCATGGGGGCACGTATGACAAAGAATTTTTAGCATGGCTTCTACTCCTAATCCAACATAATATGGGGGTTTGGCCTTTAGGCACAACCAGCAATCTCGGGCTAGTTTAGGCTGGGTGAGATTCAGGAGGTGAGGAGCACTGACCAGAATGGACTTCAGGCTGGTGAGATTCAGGAGGTGAGGAACACTGTCCAGAGTGGACTTCAGGCTGGGTGAGATTCAGGAGGTGAGTGAGGAGCACTGTCCAGAATGGACTTCAGGCTGGTGAGATTCAGGAGGTGAGGAACACTGTCCAGAGTGGACTTCAGGCTGGGTGAGATTCAGGAGGTAAGTGAGGAACGCTGTCCAGAATGGACTTCAGGCTGGGTGAGACTCAGGAGGTGAGGAACACTGTCCAGAGTGGACTTCAGGCTGGGTTGGAGGTGTTGTCATTGCAGCTGAGGTCTAGGAAGCAGGAACGATGGTGGGACAGTTAAATTGTGTCTGGGTGTTTTTGGAACGCAGGGTCACCAAATCAGTTAAAGGTACGATTGGCTTAGGAGGGCTCCGTGGGACCAGGACCTTTTTCTGGATGGTGAACTTAGTTCCAACATCAAATCCCAGAATATAAAGCCTTAATCCCTGTGACATGCCATAATACCATTGAGCTAAACTAGAGTTACGGACAGTTACAGTAAGAGGATTGCAATTTCCTATAGTACACGGTCTAGGACGGGAAGTGCGAGCTATGGAAAGGACTGAGGGTGGGGTTGATCCTCCAGAGTAAGTGGGCAAAGTGACACACGTCCAGTGAGGGCAGAAAAACTGGTAAGAATCTCAGCAGCTAGAGTCAGGGTGATTTCCAGGACGAAGGTGAAAGCCAACGCTCTGGAGCCCTTTTCTGCACCCTTAGAGCTTCCACATCCAGTCCGGCTTCTGGTGTGTCCAAACTCTGCAGCAATGTCGACGTTTCCTGCTCCCATGATCGGCAGATCGCGCTGTTCTTCGTGGGTACAGCAGGTTCTGGGAACAAAGCACATAAATCGACTACAAAAGAGACTTCCTTGGAGGTTCCCACTTTCCAGGTGGTGTTTGCAAAGACACGTACTGTTGTGAAGGAAGTGAGGAGAAAAAGAGTAGGAAGGGGCAGAGGACGTAACAGGTGGAAACAGACAGAAGAGGTAAATGGAAAGAATCTGATGGCTTCACTCAACTTAGGTGCAGTTTTAAGGGGCCCAGGCTTGGGGACCCTTGTTTCTTACTGGGCTTTGTTGGCCTTTTTGATGCGAGAGTGATGAATCCAAGCAGGAATGTCGTCCACCTTCAGAGCCATTGGTGTAGTGAGGATGATAGTATGAGGTCCTTTCCAGGCAGGAGTGAGTCCTTCCTTCTGGAATTTTTTAACATATACCAGGTCACCCGTCTGGTCAGGAACTGGATTGGGATGAGCTCCCCGGACAAGCGGCTGGATGATGTCTTGTACTTGTTGGAGAGACTGCAGGTACTGTAACAAATTAGCTTGTGAGATTTCTGCTAAATGGGTATCCCTTAGCTTAGGCAAGATAGGCGGAGCCCTTCCATACATGATTTCAAAAGGTGAAAACCCAGCCCAGTAAGGGGTGTATCTTACTCTAAGGAGGGCTAAAGGAAGGAGCTTTACCTAATTCTCACCGGTCGCTAGGATTAATTTAGTAAGGGTACTTTTTAGGGTGCGGTTCATGCGTTCTGCCTCTCCAGAGCTCTGGGGTCCATAGGCACAATGGAGTTTCCATTGAATGTTCAATGCCTTGTTAACCAACTGAGCTATGGACGAGGTGAAGGCAGGTCCATTATCAGACCTTATGGCAACAGGCAGTCCATGTCGAGGGATGGTTTCATTGAGCAACAGCTTAACTACCGTGGTGGCAGTTTCGTTTTTGGTGGCAGATGCCTCAGTCTATCCGGAAAAGGTGTCTACTAGCACCCAGAGGTATTTATATCCTGCCCGGTGCAGTTTTATCTACATAAATTAAATTTCCTCCCTTTCTCCTGGCAAGCCTCCCCGGAGGCGGTGACCTGGGCTGGGCTTACCTTGCTTGGCGTTTACCTGAGCACAAGCCGTACACTGGAGAGCTGCTTGGTTAGCTAAGTCCTGAAGGTGGGGGATCTTGAAATGGCTCCTTAGAAGCTGGGCCAATTTTACTCCTCCTTCCTGATTTTTACTGGCCTGAATATCTGAAGCTTGATTTTCTTCCTCAGGGGCGTATTCTGGGTGGTCTGGCGAGTCCGGTTGCGGAAAGGACACAGTGGGCAGCAGGGTTAAAGGCACGACCGGGAGCCGAGCCGCAGCGTCTGCTCTTTGGTTACCACAGCCTCTTTGATGTCCTTTGCAGTGAATCACAGCCACCTGTTGAGGGAGCCAGACAGCTTCAAGCAGGGCCAAAATCGCTTCTTTGTTTTTGACAGTCTTTCCTGCTGAGGTGCGGAGCCCTCACTCTTGATAGATGGCTCCAAGTGCATGTACAGCAGCGAAAGCATACCTGGTGTCAGCGTAGATGTTAATACGTTTGTCCTCACCCCATCGGAGGGCCTGAGTGAGGGCAACCAATTCAACTCTCTGTGCCGAGGTCCCTGCCGGCAGTGCCTGGGCCCACAGTCTGTCTGTCTCCATAGTAACGGCTGCACCAGCCTTTTGTACTCCTTGTTCAAGGAAGCTGCTACCGTCTGTAAACACGGTGGCATCTGCCTGTTAGAGGAACATCTCGGAGATCAGGTCAGCCAGTTTCCACAGTTTCTAACAGTTCTTGGCAGTCATGGACAGGTGTGGTAAGGTCTGGATTGGGGAGCAAGGTAGCTGGATTTAAACACCTTGTGGGAGAGAAAGTTAAACGAGGCTGATCTAACAGTACACTCTGATACTGTAGGATGCGCACATTCGACATCCATTTGCCAGAAGCACTTCGTAGCAAAGTCTCTACTGCCTGAGGAGCCATAAGAGTTTCATTCTAGCCCAGAGTGAGTTTATCAGCCTCCTGGACCAGGCTTGCTGTTGCCACTAGGGCTCGCAGATGACTTGGCCACCCGGAGGCCACAGGGTCCAGTCTCTTAGACAAATAGGCTGGCATTGCCTTGGCCCTAAAGTCTGAGTGAGTACCCCTTTAGCGACTCCCTGGCTTTCATGAACAAAAAGGTGAAATGGTTTTGAGATATTTGGGAGGGCAAGAGCAGGTGCCTCAGTTAATGCCTTCTTTAGATTTTGAAAAGCCTGTTCTTGTCAGTCCAAACTAGCAGGCCATTCCTTCCAGTGGCAGTGTACATGGGCTTGGCAATTTCTGAGGACCCTGATATCTATAGGCAGCAGTATCCTACTGCCCCCAGGAATTCATGTACTTGTCTCAGTGGTGGAGTAAGGATTTGCAAGATGGCTTTGTTTTGAGCACTAGTGAGTGCTTTTTTCCCCTCGTTTATCTCATACCTCAGGTAGAAACACTGGGAAGACAAAGCTTGGCTGAGACCCGACACCCGAATTCCTGAAGGAGGTAAAGTAGGTCCCTAGTATGTTGCAGGTGGCTGTCAGTAGTTTCTGTAGCCAATAACAGGTTATCTACCTACTGGAGAAGCATGCAGTTAGGGTGACTGGCTCGGACGGTATAGGATCCTGTTGGAGGGCTTCCCCAAAAAGCATGGGGGAGTTTTTTAAACCCTGGGGTAACTGAGTCCAGGTTAATTGGGTGGTGTCTCCTGAGCCAGGATCTGGCCATTCAAAAACAAAGACAGTTTGGCTTTTGGGGGCCAGAGGAATACCAAAGAAAGCATCCTTTAAGTCAAGGACAGTGTACACTGTATGTTCTGGTGGGAGCAGGCTGAGTAAATTGTAAGAGTTAGGGACAGTTGGATGGATGGTGACTGTCTGCTTGTTAACTTCCCGCAAGTCCTGTACAGGCCAGTAATCATTTGTTCTGGGTTTCAGGACCAGCAAAAGTGGAGTATTCCAGGCGGACTGACATGGTGTGAGTATACCAGCTTGTAATAGTCACTGAATGTGGGGATTGGTTCCCTCTCTAGCCCACTGAATCATAGGATTTTTTTTACCTGGACCAGCAAGGTGGTGGCCAGGAGTTCTACTACCGCTGGCGGACGGTGCTTAGCCAGTCCCGGGGGGGGGGGGTTGACTTGACCTAGACTCAAGGAAGGAGAGTCTGTAAATCCAGTAGGAGAGGATTAGTTTTATTCTCCGGTGGCTGTGAGGGTGAAACTAAGATACTCCTCTGACAGAGGGGTGGTTAGCAGGAGCTGAGCAGTAGGGGGCATTGTGTCACCTAACGTGAGGTGAGCTTGTTGGGCCGAGAAGGAGATGGAGCCTGTAACTTATGGAGCATATCTCATCCGAGGAGTGGGGGTAAGGGGCATTCTGGGACCATGAGGAATGAGTGGGTTACTCTTTTCTGTCCCAAACTCACCTCTCATGAGTGGGTGACAGGATATTCCTCAATAGCTCCAGTAGCCCCTTGCACAGCCACCTTTTTATTAGAGGCACTGCCCAAGGGTGTTTGCAGTACTGAATGTTCTGCCCCAGTGTCAGGAAATGTACAGGCTGGTCCTGCACTGTGGCAGTCACCATGGGCTCCCAGGGGCCAAAGGAGAGGGAGCCCCGGCCCCATCAGTTATCAGGTTCCTCCACTGCGGGGAGGGTGAGGACCTTTTTCTTTTCTGGTTTCTCCTCTGGCTTTAATGGGCATTCAGTTTCCCAATGTCCCATTTGCTTGCAAAAAGCACATTGTTTTCTTCGTAGGGGAGCCCGCTCACCTTTTTGGCCTTTCTGGCAGAGACCTGGGGTCCCCTGGTTGGTGCTTTGTGATGGGGGCCCTTCCTTCTTGGCTCCTTGGATGACAGCCCCTAAGATCTTTGCCTGTCTTTTTGATGCTTTCTCAGCAGCCCTTTCAGCTGCCTGAGCTGCCTGTTTTTGCTTTTCAAACTCTCGATTGTCAAAAACTTTCTGGGCTATCTCTAAAATTTGGCTGATGTTCATTCCAGCAAATCCTTCCAGACTTTGTAATTTTCTTTTAGTATCAGGGGCTGCCTGAGCCACAAATGCCAAATCAACAGCACAGCTATTCTCGGGAGCTGCCAGGTCGAAAGGGGCGTAAGTCCAATAGGCCTCTTGGAGGCATTCTAAAAATGCTCCAGGTGACTCATCAGGCCCCTGGACAACTTCAGTCGTCTTAGACAAATTTATGGGTTTTTGAGCGGCTCCCTTGATACCCACAAGGAGATACGTGAAAATAATCTAAAGCTCTCTTCCCACCCAAGGAGTTTGGATTCCAATCAGGCCGGGTAGGGGGAAAAACCTCCTCAAGGAGGTCTTGGGCTTCCTCCTCTGGTCTACTGGCTGATGCAAGGAAATACTTTCTGGCTTCTCTTCATCAGGGGAACCAGCCCCCGATATTTCAACGTAGGTTCTTTTCTATTTTCCCTAAGTGTCGGCTGGTCTGAGAAATAAAGGGAAAGAGTACAAAAGAGAAATTTTAAAGCTGGGTGTCCAGGGGAGACATCACATGTTGGCAGGTTCTGTGATGCCTCCCCAAGCCACAAAACCAGCAAGTTTTTATTATGGATTTCAAAGGGAAGGGAGTGTATGAATAGGGTGTGGGTCACAGAGATCACATGCTTCACAAGGCAATAAAATATCACAAGGCAAATGGGGGCAGAGTGAGATCACAGGACCATGGTGAAATTAAAATTGCCGATGGTTTCATGTCCCACTGGGCACGACTGTCATTGATAACATCTTACCAGGAGACAGGGTTTGAGAGCAGACAACTGGCCTGACTAAAATTTACGAGGCAGGAATGTCCTCATCCTAACAGGCCCGGGGGCGCTACAGGAGACTGGGGCTTATTTCATCCCTTATCTACAACTGTAAAAGACAGACACTCCTAGAGTGGCCATTGTAGAGACCTCCTCCTAGGAATGCATTCTCTTTCTCAGGGCTGTGCCTCGCTAAGAAAAAGAATTCAGTGATATTTCTCCCATTCGCTTTTGTAAGAAGAGAAATATGGCTCTGTTCTGCCTGGCTCTCAGGCAGTCAGACCTAATGGTTATCTCCCTTGTTCCCTGAACATCGCTGTTATCCTGTTCTTTTTTCAAGATGCCCAGATTTCATATTGTTTAAACATGCTTTACAATTCGTGCAGTTAACACAATCATCACAGGGTCCTGAGGTGACATACATCCTCAGCTTACGAAGATGACGGGATTAAGAGATTAAAGACAGGCATAGGAAATCACAAGCGTATTGACTGGGGCAGTGATAAATGTCCATGAAATTTTCACAATTTATGTTCAGAGATTGCAGTAAAGACAGGTGTAAGAAATTATAAAAGTATTAATTTGGGGAACTAATAAATGTCCACGAAATCTTCACAATTTATGTTCTTCTGCCGCAGCTTCAGCCGGTCCCTCCTTTTGGGGTCCCTGACTTCCTGCAACAGAAGGCAAAGAGCCTGAGGAGAGGAAGAGCCTGCGGCATTCCACTCCTTCCAGTTTGGGGCTAGAGCAAAGGGCAGAGTGTTGGTAAGTGGTGAGAGACAAGGCTGAGTAACTTGACAAGAATCACATTGACATGGGTGTTTTTATTCCATGGTGAAAAATTTGGAACTTTTCCTGAGAACAAATGTAAGCCAATGAGACAGTAAATGACAGGAGATTTAAAAATGTCACCTGTCAAGTGACTGCTTATAAATGGTTATTACTTGGCTAAGGATTTCTAAATAAGCCTGAGATCTGTTGGCCTGCAATCTCTACCAAAACTCTGAGAACTTGATGATGCCTTTGTTTTCTGAAAATTGCTTCACTGTGCTGGCTGACAGTTCCATGAAGATGGTAAAAGTGAAGAAAGTGTAGAGCTAGTAAAAAAGAGATGCATAGACTTCTTGGAAGTTTTTTAAGCTATGGAACATGATGAATTAATGGTGCATAAGCTTACTCTTCACTGTGAAAGTTTTTTTCACATCTTTCATTAGATGTTTGTAAGAAAAAACATACTTAATGTAGCATCTACTAACCCAGCAATAAAAAGGAATGGCATTTACTGTACACTTTATTTCTAAAATAAACCTAAATTTAATAAATTTTGGCAACATGCTTTTCTTTGTTTCTCTAATTATTTGTTCTACGCAGTCTGGCTCCATCTAAAATAAGTAAAAATAATAATAATGTTTAAGTTAAATGAGAGACAATATCATGAGAATAATATGTCACTTATAAAATATGGCCATTAGTATTTTTAGTGATTAGCCATAACTTGAAGTTTGCTTAAATAGAAAAATAATTACATAAATAAAGTAAAATTTCTACTTATTTTAAGTTTAGATAATAGAGGATATACCTGTGTAATGCTGTTTAGATTAATCTGACAAAAATACAGTTAATATTGATCTATTGCATATACATAATTTTAGAAAGGTGGTGTTTTATTTATTTTTTATTTATTTATTTATTTTTTTTTGAGACAGAGTCTCGCTCTGTCGCCCAGGCTGGATGGAGTGCAGTGGCCGGATCTCAGCTCACTGCAAGCTCCGCCTCCCGGGTTTACGCCATTCTCCTGCCTCAGCCTCCCGAGTAGCTGGGACTACACGCACCCGCCACCTCGCCCGGCTAGTTTTTTGTATTTTTTAGTAGAGACAGGGTTTCACCATGTTAGCCAGGGTGGTCTCGATCTCCTGACCTCGTGATCTGCCCGTCTCGGCCTCAAAAGGTGGTGTTTTATTAGTACAAACGTTAAACAATGGCTGGGTGTGGTGACTCATGCCTGTAATCCCAGCACTTTGGGAGGTCAAGGTGGGCAGATCACAAGGTCAAGAGATTGAGACCATCCTGGCCAACATGGTGAAACTCCAGTTCTACTAAAAATACAAAAATTAGCTGGTCGTGGTGGTGTACGCCTGTAGTCCCAGCTACTCAGGAGGCTGAGGCAGGAGAATCACTTGAACCTGGGAGGTGGAGGTTGCAGTGAGCCAAGATCGCACCACTGCACTCCAGCCTGATAGAGTGAAACTCCATCTCAAAAAAAAAAAAAAAAAAAAAAAAGAAAAAAAGGTTAAACAAAGTCATATTTTGCAATTTTGCAATGAATGCATTGCTTTGAAATTCTTAGCAAAACTCTACTCTTTATAAAAGTTCAGTCCTGAGGGGGCACCTAAGATGGCCGAATAGGAACAGCTCCAGCCTCAAACTCCCAGTGTGTGCAACACAGAAGACGGGTGATTTCTGCATTTTCAACTGAGGTACCAGGTTCAACTCACTGGGGCGTGTCGGACAGTCGATGCTGGTCCATGGGTGCAGCCCGACCAGCAAGAGCTGAAGCAGGGCGAGGCATCGCCTCACCTGGGAAGTGCAAGGGGGAAGGGAATTCCTTTTCCTAACCAAGGGAAATTGAGACACACAACACCTGGAAAATCCCACCCTAATACTGCAGTTTACCAAGGATGTTAGCAAATGGCACACCAGGAGATTATATCCCACACCTGGCCCAGAGGGTTCCACGCCCACAGAGCCTCCCTCATTGCTACCACAGCAGTCTGAGATCCAACTGCAAGGCGGCAGTGAGGCTGGGGGAGGTGTGCCTGCCATTGCTGAGGCTTAAGTAGGTAAAGCCTCCAGGAAGCTCGAATTGGGTGGAGCCCACCGCAGCTCAAGGAGGCCTGCCTGCCTCTGTAGACTCCACCTCTGGGGACAGGGCATAGCTAAACAAAAAGCAGCAGAAACCTCTGCAGATGTAAAAGTCCCTGTCTGACAGCTTTGAAGAGAGCAGTGGTTCTCCCAGCACAGAGGTTGAGATCTGAGAATGGACAGACTGCCTGCTCAAGTGGGTCCCTGACCCCTGAGTAGCCTAACTAGGAGACATCCTCCACTAGGTGCAGACCAACACCTCACCTCGCAAGACTGGGTACACCCCGAGACGAAGCTTCCAGAGCAAGAATCAGACAGCAACATTCACTGTTCAGCAATATTCTATCTTCTGCAGCCTCCGCTGCTGATACCCGGGCAAATAGCATCTGGAGTGGACCTCAAGCAAACTCCAACAGACCTGCAGCTGAGGGTCCTGACTGTTAGAAGGAAAACTAACAAACAGAAAGGACACTCACACCAAAACCCCATCAGTACATGACCATCATCAAAGACCAAAGGCAGATAAAACCACAAAGATGGGGAAAAAGCAGTGCAGAAAAGCTGGAAATTCAGAAAATCAGAGTGCATCTCCTCCTCCAAAGGAATACAGCTCATCGCCAGCAATGGAACAAAGCTGGATGGAGAATGACTTTGACAAGTTGAGAGAAGAAGGCTTCAGTCAATCAAACTTCTCAGAGCTAAAGGAGGAACTACGTAACCAGCACAAAGAAACTAAAAACTTTGATCCTTTCCTTACTCCTTATACGAAAATTAATTCAAGATGGATTAGAGACTTAAATGTTAGACCTAATACCATAAAAACCCTAGAGGAAAACCTAGGTAGTACCATTCAGGACATAGGCATGGGCAAAGACTTCATGTCTAAAACACCAAAAGCAACGGCAGCAAAAGCCAAAACTGACAAACGGGATCTCATTAAACTAAAGAGCTTCTGCACAGCAAAAGAAACTACCATCAGAGTGAACAGGCAACCTACAGAATGGGAGAAAATTTTTTGCAATTGACTCATCTGACAAAGGGCTAATATCCAGAACCTACAAAGAACTCAAATTTACAAAAAAAAAAAACAACCCCATCAAAAAGTGGGCAAAGGATATGAACAGACATTTCTCAAAAGAAGACATTCATACAGCCAACAGACACATGAAAAAATGCTCATCATCACTGGCCATCAGAGAAATGCAAATCAAAACCACAATGAGATACCATCTCACACCAGTTAGAATGGCGATCATTCAAAAGTCAGGAAACAACAGGTGCTGGAGAGGATGTGGAGAAATAGGAACACTTTTACACTGTTGGTGGGATTGTAAACTAGTTCAACCATAATGGAAAACAGTATGGCGATTCCTCAAGGATCTAGAACTAGATGTACCATATGACCCAGCCATCTCATTACTGGGTATATACCCAAAGGATTATAAATCATGCTGCTATAAAGACACATGCACATGTATGTTTATTGCGGCACTATTCACAATAGCAAAGACTTGGAATCAACCCAAATGTCCATCAGTGACAGACTGGATTAAGAAAATGTGGCACATATACACCATGGAATACCATGCAGCCATAAAAAAGGATGAGTTTGTGTCCTTTGTAGGGACATGGATGCAGCTGGAAACCATCATTCTTAGCAAACTATCACAAAAACAGAAAACCAAACACCGCATGTTCTCACTCATAGGTGGGAACTGAACAATGAGATCACTTGGACTCGGGAAGGGGAACATCACACACCGGGACCTATCATGGAGAGGGGGGAAGGGGGAGGGATTACATTGGGAGTTATACCTGATGTAAATGACGAGTTGATGGGTGCTGACAAGTTGATGGGTGCAGCACACCAACATGGCACAAGTATACATATGTAACAAACCTGCACGTTATGCACATGTACCCTAGAACTTAAAGTATAATAATAATAAATAAAATAAAATAAAACATTTCCCCTTAAAAAAAAAAAGTAAAAACTTTCAAAAAAGAATGGATGAGTGGATAACTAGAATAATCAATGCAGAGAAGACCTTAAAAGAACTGATAGAGATGAAAACCATAACACGAGAACTATGTGACAAATGCACAAGCTTCAGTAACTGACTCGATCAACTGGAAGAAAGTTTCAGTGATTTAAGATCAAATGAATGAAATGAAGCAAGAAGAGAAGTGTAGAGAAAAAAGAGTAAAAAGAAATGAACAAAGCCTCCAAGAAATACGGGATTATGTGAAAAGACCAAATCTACGTCTGATTGGTGCGCCTGAAAGTGACAGGGAAAATGGAACCAAGTTGGAAAACACTGCAGGATATCATCCAGGAGAACTTCCCCAACCTAGTAAGGCAGGCCAACGTTCAAATTCAGGAAATACAAAGAATGCCACAAAGATACTCCTCGAGAAGAGTAACTCCAAGACACATAATTGTCAGATTCACCAAAGTTGAAATGAAGGAAAAAATGTTAAGGGCAGCCAGAGAGAGAGGTTGGGTTACCCACAAAGGGAAGCCCATCAGACTAATAGCAGATCTCTCGGCAGAAACTCTACAAGCCAGAAGAGAGTGGGGGCCAATATTCAACATTCTTAAAAGAATTTTCAACCCAGAATTTCATATCCAGCCAAACTAAGTTTCATCAGTGAAGTAGAAATAAAATCCTTTACAGATAAGCAAATGCTTAGAGATTTTGTCACCACCAGGCCTGCCCTACAAGAGACCCTGAAGGAAGTACTAAACATGGAAAGGAACAACTGGTACCAGCCATTGCAAAAACATGCCAAAATGTAAAGACCATCGATGCTAGGAAGAAACTGCATCAATTAACGAGCAAAATAACCAGCTAATATCACAGTGACAGGATCAAGTTCACACATAACAATATTAACCTTAAATGTAAATGGACTAAATGGTCCAATTAAAAGACACAGACTGGCAAACTGGATAAAGAGTCAAGACCCATCTCACATGCAGAGACACACACAGGCTCAAAATAAAGGGATGGAGGAAGATCTATCAAGCAAATGGAAAACAAAAAAAAAGCAGGGGTTGCAATCCTAGTCTCTGATAAAACAGACCTTAAGCCATCAAAGATCAAAAGAGACAAGACCATTACGTAATGGTAAAGGGATCAATTCAACAGGAAGAGCTAACTATCCTAAATATATATGCACCCAATACAAGAGCACCCAGATTCATAAAGCAAGTCCTTAGAGACTTACAAAGAGACTTAGACTCCCATACAATAATAATGGGAGACTTCAACACCCCACTGTCAACATTAGACAGATCAACGAGACAGAAAGTTAACAAGGATATCCAGGAATTGAACTCAACTCTGCACCAAGCAGACCTAATAGACATCTACAGAACTCTCCACCCCAAATCAACAGAATATACATTCTTCTCAGCACCACATTGCACTTATTCGAAAATTGACCACATGGTTGGAAGTAAAGCACTCC